CGGTGCACTGGAGGACAGGGCCTGCGCACCTGGCGAGGAGCCCCAGCCACCTCCCCCCAGGGGACAATGGTCCCAAGCAGGCTCTAGGGGCAGGACCCCACAGAGCCAGGCTGTGCCGCTGCACAGACGTGAGCAGAGGTCCCCTCGAGACACAGCTCGGGGTACCCAGTGGGCTCAGCGGGAAGAGCCTGCACCTCTCCATCTCGGGGTTGTGAGCTCAAGCCCCATATTGGATGGAGCGATTAGTTAAAAAAAAAAAAAATGAACTTAAAACAAACAAACAAACAAAACCCCAGCCACAGCCCAGAGGTGACCCAGGGACCAACGTCCAATCCCAAACTGGCCCACCTCCCCCACAATACACTCCCCTTCCCAGGTCCTGACCTTCCCATTTCCCCCCAAACAAGGACTCACTTCCCCCAGCAAGCGCTAACCCCTGCTGGTTCTTCAGGAGGAAGGCCTTGGAGGTGGGCTTCGCTGGGGTTGGGGGGATAATGGTGCTTGTTTTCGTCTGTGTTTACAAAGCCGGGTCTTTTCCTCCGGAGGGGACAGGATGGGGACTGTCCCTGGGAGCCCCCCAGGGTCCTGCAGGCTGCTGGCAGGGACAATGGGCTCCAGCACCTGGCATCCCCCTCCCCCTAGCCCTGAGCACTGGCTTTGCTTCCTGGAGCCCGGGTCGTGTTGTGTTTGTTCCCGCACCAACTTCAGCTGGCCCAGGCCGCCTCCATGCACACCTGCAGGCCGGGGGCCCACACGCGGCCTCACACGCAGGGGCCCAGTGCCGGCCAGGCCAGTGCACCCTTCAGCTCTGGGCGCAGATGCTTCCTCCTGCCAGAGCGTGAGCCCACGCCCCCTTGGCGCCCAGCGCCAGGTGCAGGGCCCGGCGAGCTCCCATCCTGTCCCGCGGCCGTGGCTCTGAAAGCACGGGAAGTGCATCTGCCCAGGGTCTGGGCGCGGGTGACGCTCGGCTTTCCCACCACCTCCCCTTGATCCACGGGCTGGGCAAATGGAGGGACCCCTGAGGGAGGGGACGTGGAGGAGGGAGGGGCCCTCTGAAGGGTCGGCACGAGGGGCTGGATGGACCCCCCATGTGGTCTCTGGCGCCTGCAGAGAGGCAGAGGTGGGAAAGGGGGTGGGGAGAGAGGAGCGGGTGGTCAGGGTGGGGAACACACAAGTGGCAAAGTCGGGATGAACTTTTTGGTTTTCCAACCCAGGGCCGAGTTTGCCAGTCGCCCGTGTTCCAGATGTTCTTTCAAAAGCTCCCAGTCTGGGGAGGCTGCGGGACACAGGCTCCCCTTCAAAGTCGGCCTGGCCCCCTCTCCTTCTGGCACTGCACACGGGGGGTCTGGCTCCCTGGCTTCAGGAAGTTGCACAACCCTGGCCCGTGCCCCGCGGCCCCATCTCCCACCCTGGCACAGCCCCTCCTTCAGGGACCCAGCCCCCCCCTCCCTGGAAGCAGCTGAGAAGGCATGTGGACAGGAGGGGATGCCACGGGCTGAAGCCCCCAAGCTGACCATGAGCCTGCCCCAGACAGCGGCAAGGAGGGATGCGCAGCACAGGCCCACAGCTTTGTCCCTGGTTGTGTCCCTTCCTCTCTGCTGGCTCCGGTCTGATCCAGCCTGCGGTTCTGTGCTGTGATGGGCAAGCACAAGGAGGGTCTCAGTGCCGAACACGCAAGCAAACACCATGGGGTCTGAGCGCGCAACCCTGGCTTGCCCTCTGCTCTCTGTGTCTTGGCAGGTCACTGTGGCTCTCCTCCTGCCCCCAGGCCTGCTCTGGTTGGGATACCCTCACCCTGGGCCAGTGGACTTTGTCCCAGGAGCCAGAAGCCCAACTTGCTGCCATCCTATGTGAGCCACAACATGGCCATGGTGGGATGGTGGCCCCAGGAGAGAGAGGGCCACCTCCCAGCGCCCATGGGTCGGGGCTTATTTAGAAAAAAGGCTCTTGATAGGTGTGTCTCGGGATCTTAAGATCACCCTGGATCACCCAGGTAGCCCGTAGCCTGGGGGCAAAGACCCTCCTGAGGAGGAGGAGGCTGGGACCCCAGGGGGGCTCAGTCGGTGAAGCGTCTGCCTTTGGCTCGGGTCATTATCCCGGGGTCCTGGGAGAGAGCCCCGCTTTGGGCTCGCTGCTCAGCAGAAACTTGGCTTCTCCCTCTCCCACTCCCCCTGCCTGTATTCCCGTCTCTCACTGTGTCTCTCTCTGTCAAATAAATAAATAAAATCTTCACACACACACAAAAAAACCCAGAAGGAAAAAGCTCCGTGGAGGAAGGAGCCTGCTGTGGCTGTGGGAAGCCGGGCTGGATGTGGCCCAGGAGGGAGCACAGCCCGACGACACCCTGATTTCCAGCCCATGACAATGACTTCGGGCCTCCAGTCTTCAGGACCACGAGGGAAGAAACCTCTACTGTGTTAAGCCACACCATTTGGGACCATCACAGCAGCCCCAGGACACTGATACAGATGTGGTGTGCGATTTGGTGAAAAGGGTCCCGGCCTCCACACCCACAATGCTGGCCTGTTAGCAAGCGGTCGGCAAGACGACGTGTGGGTCTCCGCCCGGCATGGAGGCTGCTCGCTCTAGCGAAAGGCCAGGAGGACAGTCGGGTGGGGATCCGGGCTCATGCTGAGAACACGTCAGGAGCAAGACTGGGGCCACTAGGTTCTGCCGGCTCAGGCCAGAGGCCTCCAGTCCCTGCCCCAACAAGTTCACCTTGCCAGGGCCGACCAGAGTTAGACTTCAGGAGGGCTGCCTGGAAGAGGGGGGCTCTGCCGGGCAGGAGGGCTGGGCCAGGTCCAGGACACATGCACCTGTGTGTCCATCCTCATGGCCAGCCCCTCAGCACACCCATGTGTGCACACTCACTCACACACACACAACCACATGGGCTCTGGAAGGATCCTCCAGGGAGAACAGTAGGGTAGGTGTGCCCGTTCACGGGGTCGTGGTCTAGGACTCAGGATTGTGTCCCTGAAACTCTGAGGCCTCTGCTCCCTTTCCTGCCACCTCCCACCCGAGGCTGTTGCTCAGCCTTGGCAGATGGAGGGGCTGCCCCCTCGCCACACACCCCTCCCAGGAACGGCCTGGCTGCTCTCAGCAGCGGAAAGGCGGCACTGTGGGTGGACAGTAGGCCTGAGCCCCAGAGGTTGTGCTCTGATGCCACTTGGAGAGGAATGCTGTCCCCTCAGGCTCTGGGTCTGGGCCAGACCTCAGTGCAAGGAGCCTGTTGGGAAACAGGAGCAGGGTGGGGGCCTCCATGGAGAGCCTGTCCCCCTCCTGTCCCTACACCCACACCCTTACACTCTCTTACTGACCTTCAGCCCTCCACTTGGTGGCCCCCTAACTTATGCTCCAACCAAACTGGGACTTTTCCTCCCACCCCAAGATGCAGGCAAGGGCAGAGGAGTCCAGCGACAGGAGCTGCAACACTCACGTCTGCTCCTCTGCCAGCCCTCTCCAAGCCCACACGAGGACACATCCAGGCGCTCAGGGCAGGACCCTGGCATTGCCTGGGTCACTCCTCACCCCTCCATGTCCAGCCCACCTCCTTTGGCCCCACCTCCACCACACGGCCCCACATTCCATGTCCGTGCAAGGCATAGAGATCTTTCATGATCTGGACTCCAGCACCGGCCCTCCACTTAGACCCTCCAGCCCTGGGCCACTTCCTCAGCCCGACTGAGCCTCCTTCCGTGGCCTCGAGCTCCAGACCATGGCACACGCACGGAGCGCGGGCTGCAGACACCAGAGCCGTGGAATGCTCCACGGGGCACACGGTACCTGCACCGTAGGTGTCCCCCTCATCCCGCGACGGGGCCCCCAGGGCAGCTGCACACTGTGGTGGCAAGCAACAGACGGCCCGCTGAGGTCTGGGAAGCTTGGCTCCCCGCCCCGAGCACAGGGCGCACATGGGCCGTAACTGTGCTCCAGGCCTGGGTCTTGCCCAGCTCTTAAGGCTCGGGGCTGTTGTGCTTTGGGACAAGGGATGACCTCCCAGGGCCTGGGTCTCATCAGGGACCCTTGTTCCGTCGCATAGACTAAACGTGCTCACACGTGTGCGGCGGGGAGCTGGGTCCAGGTCAGCTAGTCTGGCTCTTCATGTTGTGCTAGTGCGGACTGACCCGCCACCACGGCCCTTCTGGATCCCCGGCCTGTCTCTGCTCTGCCAGGGTACCCCAGAGGCAAGGCCTGCTCTGCTGCCTGCTGGGTCCGTCCACCTTCCGCAGAAGAGTGTGACGGGTGTTGGGTCCAGCAGGTGTCCTCCTTGGCCAGGGGCTCTTTCTACCTGACCCTCTCTCCCTCCCCATCGGGTGGGATTGGGGAGGGGGCCGTGGACACCCAGGTCTCTGCGGCTGTGGCTTGGGGAGTCCAGGATCAGCCCATCACCCTGCCAAGCAAACACACAGTCCCAGAGCACAGGAGTGGATCCCTGACCAGCCTGTCCGGGTCCAGAGGGGGGCCGTGGCCGCCCCTCCCGGGGCCGCAGGAAACGGCCTGGCCCCACTTGCAGCCAGAGCCAGCGACTCTGGCTTCCCTTCAGGCCCGTTTCCTTTATCCGGTTGTTTTGCTCTGAATTCACAAAGCTCGGCCCTCTCTTCCCCTCCGTGTCCACCCCTTCCCCCACTCCAGAGCGGAGCAGGACGGATACCGGACATTTCAGGGCCCGCTAGAGCCCCCCCACCCCCACCCCCACCCCCACCCCCCCCCCCGGACCGCCCGGAAGGGGAGTCCCACGCGGCGTCCCGACCGCCCCCTGCTGCCCAAGGCCGGGAGCGCAGCGCCGCCGTCCTCGCGCAGGTGCCGGGCGCGGGCTGGCTCCGCCGGCGAGTGCCGCGCGGCCCCCAGCGCCCACTCCCCGCGCGGTCGCAGATGCGGGGGCGGCCGGCCCCACCGCCGGCGGGCTAAGGGAAGACGACCAGAGCGCAGCACCAGCAGTTTATTGAGTCCTGGCCTGGCGCCCGGAGCATCATCTCCAGGTCTCGGGCCCTCGGAGGAGCGCGGGCCGCGGCGCGGGAGGGGCCGGGACCCCGCGCGGGGCCAACCAGAGGGAGGGACCGCGCTCGGCCCCAAAAGAAGCTCGAGCCCAGGCCCCGCGGCCCCGCCGGCTGCTCCTGGGCCCGCGCAGGACGCGCGCTAGGGACCCCCGGGGGCCGCCGCCCGCAGCGCGAAGAGTTTCTCCCAGCAGGTGGCGACGGCGTCCAGGGCGCGCACGAGGAGCCGCCTCCGGCCGCTGCGACTCCGGGGAGGGCGCGTCTTGGGCCGCCGGCTCCGCTGTCGGGGACGGGACGGTCAGCGCGCGCCCACGGTCCCCGCCGTCCCCCCACCCCCACCCCCAGGCTCTCGTCTGGCCCCTAGAGCTCCCAGACGGTGCCCCCGCGGGGCCACGGGAGGCGCGGTGGGGAGGGGGGGCGCCCGTGGAAGGGGAGGGACCCGGCTGTGGGCCCGCGCACCTGGCTCAGCATCCCGCAGTGGCGCCGCATCACCGCCTCGGTGCGCAAGGCGACGGTCCACGCTGCCTTCTCCAGGGCCCCGCGGCGGCCCCGGGCCACCACCCTGCGCAGGGTCCGACCCAGGGACGCGATAGACAGTAGGATACCGTGCTCCTGGGGAAGGGAGGGAGGAAAGTGGGGGCTGGGGAGAGCCCTGTGGGGAGGCCCCCAGAGGGAACCAGAGGGCAGGGGTGGGGGCGTGGACTCCGTACCTTCTGGGCACTGCAGACAGCTCCCCCCAGCCCCCGCCATGCAGGGCCCGCAGCTCCAGTCAGGTTTTTGTGAATGAAACGGAGGCGTGGGGAGCCTGGCCCCGGCCACTCTGCCCCTGGCCCAGGCCACTCTGCCCCTGGCCCAGCCTGCCTCACAGCTGCCTGCAGGTCCTCAAAGATGACGGCGCGATAGTGGCGGAGCACATCAGGGACGCTGCAGGTGCGGAGCCCGGACTGGCCTGGCGCCATTCCCAGCAGAGCCAGCAGGATTGCCCAGATCGCAGGCTTAGGAGGCACCTGGAAGGGACTCGGCGTCAGGGTGGGGGTGCCCAGGCCTGTGCAGGGGGCCTCCCCTCTGGCCACCCTTCAGGCAATTTGCTTTGGACAGTCCCCCAAGACAACCATCCAGGGGGTCTCGGAGCTGGTATACAGTGGAGCTGTCGCTGTGCCATTCAGGACTAGGCATGGATCTAGCAGGACAGACAGACAGTGGGCCTGCACACCAGACAGCTCAGCGCTCATGCAGAGATCTGTGGGGTGGATGATATGGGCACGGGGCAGGGGGCTGGGAAGGCAGGCCCACTGAGCCAGGAGGGGACAGGGGCTCCAGAGGCAGGAGCACGGGGCCGAGAGCCTGGAAAGCTGCGGGGCAGGGCTGACCTCGGTTTAGGGACAGCCTCTCCCTGGGCCATGCCTGAACTCATCCCCACACTTCCCAACACAACCCCCAGCAGAGCCAGGCTCTCCTCCAGATGAGCAGCCCCTGCTCCCCAGAACACGGCTCACCTGTGGGTCCCCAGAGCAGGGGCAGAACTGACCTACTCCCACTCCTCACCAACAGAGCTGTCACAACCAGCTCTCACAGCCATGGGAAACGGGGTACCCCTGCACCTGCAGCCCAACCAGGACAGGGCTGAGGGCTCATCGCTCAAGGCCACACCCCTTTGGGAGGGGAAGGCTTGGGGAAACCCCCAGAGGCAAGGGAGGAAGGGGCCGCATTGTGGCCCCATCACTCTTTCTCCAGGCCTCCCCCTCCAGAAGGGCCTGGCACGGGGAGAAGCCCACCCCCACCCAGAACCCCAAGCACCAAACACAGAGAGCAGCTAGTTCCCAAACCCGGGGCCACACACCCACCCTTAGGCCCCCAGGCAAGAGTCCAACAGCCACTGGAAAATTAATCCTGTGAAGCCAGCGAGACGCAGAACTCGACTCCGCTTCCTGGCCCAGGGGTGAGCCTGACTGAGCAGCACCCCATCCGCACAGAGCCCTGGGGGGCGGCACTGGCAGGAGGAGCAGACTCGATCTGTTGGGGCCCCTCCTCCAAGCTGCCCTCAGACATGCCCAGCAGGTCAGAGGTCCAGCCAAAGCCAGAGCTGTGGGTGCTGAAGGGAGAGCCACGTGGGGCAGGCTGGCCACCTCCCAGCCCAGCCAGGAAGGACAGGGCAGCCCTGGCACCAGGAGGCTGACCTGGGGGGCCAGGAGACCCCATCCTTCCCCACATCCCCCGCCCCCCACCCCTGCTGGGAACAACAGGCAAGAGCACCCAGGTCCAGGTCTGGCAGGCCGAGGTGACCGGAACCAAGGGGGATTTCCCAGTAGGGCACAGGAGGTCGCAGAGCCTCCCGCAGGCTGCACTCACTCCCTAACCCTCCGCAGCGCGGCCGTGGGTGAGTCCCTCAGCTGCCCAGCGCGGCTCACCATGGGCCTCTCAGGGCGAGGCCCTCCCTCACTCCCGGCGGTGGGCCTTCCACATGATCCTGGGTCCTCAGGTAGGGAGTGTGGCTGCCGCTCTAGGGCCTCCTGCGCCAAGCCCGGCCCGCAGGGCTTCCCAGGACAGGCTGCGGCAGGGCGCTGGCGGCAGGCAGACAAGGCTTTTGAAGTTGGCTCCTCCGAGCAAGGGAGGGAGGGAGCGGGAGGGAGGCCCCAGGATCCCAGCCCTACCCCCTCCCTCTCCCCACCTCCTATCCAATTGCTTCTTCAATCAACCTGACCCTGGAGCCCAGCAGCTGCGGGCTCTCTTCCCACCCAGTGGGTCTCGGACTAAGCCATCAGCCCCAGCAAGATACACTCAGCTGAGGCAGCGGTGGGGTGTCTGGTGGGCAGGGCAGGGCCCAGCTGCGGGGGCGGGAGGGGGAGGGCAGCCAGGACAGGCCAAGGGCCCTCCACGGGGCCTCCTCAGCGGTCAGTAGGTGCTGCCTCTTCTGGGAGCCTGGCTGCCGGCAGAGCGAGGGGAGCTGGACCTAAGCCCCAAGCTCCGTCACAGACACCGGCCCCCGCAGGTCCCAGGTGTGGGACGTCCCAGGCTCCTCCTGCCGCTCAGCCCTCCTGGGCTGAGGGGGTCTTCTGCTGGGGGCAGTCGTGGCCGCTTGCCGTAAAAGGCTCTCCCGGAGCTGGGCCGCCATACCCCTGCCTGGCAGTGCCCAGCTGGTCATCCCTCCAGCCCACACCGCAGAACAAGGGCAGCCTCCAGAAGCCAACGTGCCCTGAGCTGGACTGAAGAAGCGTCAGCTACAGGAAACCCACGGTCTGTTCTTTTCCCAGGGAGGAAAGCGGTCTCAGCACTTCAGAGCAAACGAAGGAGAAGGAGAAGATGACTCCTTCCAAAGGAGAAGATGACATTCACACCGGATGGTCCAGACGCAATGGAACTTTCCGAGGGCTCTGCAGAAGGCCTCACCTGACAGCGAGCTCAGAGGGGTGTGGGGGAGAAGCCACGTCCATCTCAGGGCACAGAAGGGTGCCAGCCACCCCCGCGACCATGGCCGAGTCACTGTTTCTGCCAGGGCCCTGGTTTCTATGTCTGTGTAGGAACTGGCTGGTCTTCAAGGTCTCCAAAGCTTCAGGACCCCGTCTTCAATGTAACAGGCAGGATCCCCCTCGCCTCCTCCAGGAGATCGAAGGAGACACCTCAGTCTCCATGAAGACCCTGTGAGCCTCCCCGCACTGCTTCTCAGGCCCGGCCCTCGGGGTGAGAAGAAGAGGAGGCGTCTCCCTACCCACAGTCTATGAGGGAGACCCAGGCCACACGGGTGGTCTGCCGCCCACTCTGGGCTGGTGGCGTCCGTGGGCTCCCAGCACTTCAGAGGTGGACCCAGCAGGGCCTGCGCTCTCCAGGCAAAGGTGCCTGTGCCTCAGGAGCAACGTCAAGGCAAGTGCTCCCCAACCCGGGCCACCCGGGGAGGGGCTGAGCCATGGGTCAGTGACTGAGCCCCACCACAGAACCCCTCATCCATGTCACCCAGGGGCTGCTCTGCAATCTTCTCTCATGAACATGGGGGAGCAGCTGCCCGCTACTCTTCTCTGCCCTGTGCAAACAACCGGCACCTCTCCCCGGCCCACGGCCTCCCGGCAACCCACAGCCTCTGGCCACATGTCTGCACCCTTCTAAGAGAATCCGCTGGTTGTGTCCAGAGCCTGAGCAAGGCCTTTGTCCTCACACAGCATTCGCAGTGAGAACACGCTAAGCCTCCCAGGTCACGTATCTTTCAACCCAGAGATATGCGCAGTTATAAGTGCTTCAGAGCAAAACTGCTGATTATAAATCAGCAAAAACTTATCCACGCAAATGTGAGAAAATCGCTTCCTGGTCACATTTCCCTTCAGCACACACCCGAGGGGCCTCACAGTTACCCCTTAGCAACACACTGTGGAAGACATGTTAGGAAGTGGGGCCTGGTGTCTGCATTGCTTAGGAAAGTTACCTACCCGGGCGGGCAGACCTGCAGGGTGCCCCCCACCCAAAGGGGACAAAGGAGAGCCTGTCCCAGCTGCTCCCAGGACGTGACCTGCCCAGCCCCTTCTCCCAGGGAGGAGCACAGCTTCCTCTGAGGTACAGAGGCCGTCTGCAAGTGGCCCCCGTGAAAACAGGAACCTCAGTGAGCTGACTGGGGTCGCAAACCTGAGTCTGCTCGTGGTGGGAGGCGGCGCGGAGAAAACCTGCAGGGCACCAACCCGGACACGCTACCTGGAAAACTTTTAATTAAAGAGCAGGACAGACAGCTCGGGGCCCCTTCCACCCTCCCACCACTTCGTGCTCCTGCACGTGCTGCCCCAAGGGCCGCGGAGACAGAGCCTGGACAGACCATCAGAAGGTGTTCCTGATGTGGGCCGCCACCAGCACGAGGATCTCCCCGATCTTCCTCTGCCAGTTGGCGATGTCCTTGGACACAGCGCACCACAGCTCCCCGTGCCGGGGCTCGGCGTTCTCACAGCGCCTCCTCACCTCCTCTCGCTGCTCCTGGGCAGGGACCAGCGGGCATGTGAGTCAGGCGAGCCCCCTGCTCGGGCCACCATGCTCACCCAGCTCCACAGGCCCGGGCCTGGCTGGCAAGGGGGCAGAGCAGTCTTTCCGGTGTGTTCGTCAAGATGGTCCCTCCGCCACGGGGCAAGCCCCACCACACGGACCCTCCCCAGAGCTGATTTCAGTACACACGTGCGGAGCCAAGTCCAGCCCACGTCTGTGCCGTGCCTGAGTGCCCCGAGCCTGCCTTCTCTGCACAAGGCGCTGCCCAGATTCCACGTGGCACAGCTCCCACCTCCCGTGGGAACCCCAGGACAGCCTGGCTATCCCCCACCCCCACGAGCACAACTTTGACAATGTTTGGTGCTGGGGGTGGCGGGGACGAGCGGCTGCTGCCTAGGCTTCCCTGCACGCTGCCCCTGGGCTCATGTGTAGGACAAAACTCGCTGGGGCACGAGGTGAATCTTTAGGGCCTGACCACCACCCCCACTGGTACTGTGCGGCCACACCCCAGTCGCTGGCCACCGTGTGCAGCGCCTCACCTCTGTGCCGTGCTGCAGCTCAAACTTGTAGAAGAAGGCCCAAGCGTCCCCCAGGTCCGAGTCGATCTTGACTGTGCGGTGGAACCACTCCCTGGCCTTGGTGATCTTCCGCTCACTCCAGAACAGCCTGTCCGGAAGCATCGGTGCGGGGACCCGTAAGTGGTGCCGTCTGGGTGCCTGAGCGGTGCTGGCCGGCATAAGCCACAGAGTGCCGGGGCACGGCCCAGCCCTGGTCTCCGACTGCAGCTTGCCCGTGTGAGAGGCGGACGGTGAGCCCAGTGCCTGCGGTGGCCAGCAGACTCTGCCCCTCTCCCTGGCGAGCCCCCAGGCTCCCAACAGGAGGGCCGAGGAATGGCGCCTGGCTCCCTGGGGGTCGCTCCAGGTCACTAACCTTCAACCGTCCTTCAAGGGCCTAAACAGCTACTTCTTAAAAAACCCACACACAAGAACTTGGGTTCCTGTAAGTCATTACCTTCCTCTGGATGAAACACTAGAGGATCAACGTAAACCTGACAAAAACCTAAATTAAGACTTTGATCAGAGAAAGTGAAGTTTCAACCTGCTCGTCAATGGACACCTTCTGGGTCATTCTGCCCACCCCTGGCCGCCTCCAGCAGGACCCAGCCCACGTGACAAGACGGGCCTCGGGTCAGCCCCAGGTACCTGAACCCGCAGCAGACGCAGACATCCGAAGACCACGCCCATGCTAGAAGCCACTAGCGAGGAAGTTGAGAAACCAAACCAAGGACCCATGAGCGACCTCCCAACTCGCCAGTGCCGGCAGGAGGCAGGAGGGGTGACCCTCTGACCGCCCGGAGCTCCAGGGGGCTGTTCCTCGAGCACCTCCGGGAGCACCTCCGGCCCCATAGCCACAGGCGCCACAGCAGCCCGCACCGCCGGCCCGCGGTCCCGCCGCTGCCTGGACCGCCTCAGTTACCACAGAGTGACTCCGTGCCCTGATAGCTTGATTGTTTTTTAAGCCTTGTGGTATTCTTAATCGCTTGGTGTTAGATAAACTATGCCTTAAAGAGCACAAACCCTGATAGCAGGTACACCGAACAGCAAGGAGTGACTTATTTACTTTGCAAAGCCTTTTACGAGGGTTTATGGCCGCCCTATCAGGGAGTCATACAGAACAGTCGCCCCCGGAGGCGGAAGCACAGGGAGGAGGGAGGGGTCCCCAGCGGGCTCAGGCTGGGCCTCAGGAGCTGGTGGGCGGGAAGCCTCCACACGCGGTGCCCTCAGCCTCGCAGCGGCTGGCGACATGCCCTGCAGGACCTGAGGGAGTGGGGCCCGCGTATCCCCCGGGGATAGGTCAGACTCTGGCTCTGGGCGACGGCAGCACGTGGGAGCGCCGGGGCCACACGTGCTGCCTCCCCGAGGTGAGGCCTGAGCAGCAGTCCCGGGAGCCCAGTCAAGGCTCTTCCTGATGACCATCCACCTCAAACCAACCGGTCACCTCCCAACCTCCTCTGAACACACCCAACCCCCACCCGGCTCTCTGGCCCCCCACGCACCAGCCACAATGTCACTGGATCTTCCAATGGCTCTGCCCTGCACACCACATGGCTCCCCAGGACGCTCCTGACCCAGCCCTGGACACTCGAGCTGATGGCGTGGGGTCGCTGGCTGACCTCCTCTTGCTCTCAGGCTCAAGCACCCTGGAGGAACGATGGTCTCCAGCCCACGCATCTCTGCGGCCCCAGGCAGGCTGACTGGGCCTGACAGACGGACCCTGGACCTCGAGGTCACCAAGGTGAAGCTCTCTGCTTGCTCGCCCACGAGAAAACCCACCCAGAGCCCCTTGCTCTGCTTATTACTTCAATTCTGTGTGGACCAACGTGAGCGGGTTTGTCTCCTACAACTCAGGACAGGCGCAGGCGTGAAGTGCCACTTTAAAAGTGCCACTCCTGTCAGAAGGATCAGGATGGAAGGAAGGAGGGCCGGGCCCAGAGGAAGCTGCCCGTTCGTGGTCAGGGCCGACCTCGGCCATCGGGTTAGCATGGGGCTGCACGGCCTCTGCCTACAGACGGGGCTGCTCTAGGTCAAAGCAAAAGTGCTTTATCATGGAGCTCTGGTGGCCAAGGACTCTAAGAGGTTCCATCAGGTCCCAAGGGTCAGCAACCCCACGAGGAACCCCGCACTCACTTGGCCACAGCCAGGAGGACGTGGGGGTCATGCTCACACTTCTTCAGGGCATCGACGCTCTTGGTCTTCCTCTGGGGCCTTGCCTCAAGAAAGATGGCTTCAGACCACAGGACACCTGCAATTCAGACGCAAGGACACCACCACTCGGACCCTGCCTCTGCTGTCAGAAGCGACCTGTCCACGAGCAGGCTACCCCAAGAGGGGCTGGCTAAGACCCTAACCAGGGGTGTCCTCAGACTGCGGCTAGGACCTCCCACATGTCTGCCCACGGGGCCTGCCTAGAGAGAGCCACAGAGGCTTCCCTGCCCGCCTGCCGCACAGCAGCCCTGAGGGCACAGGACGGACAATTCTCCGGCAGTGACTGGTTTGGACGAGCCCCAAAACTGTGAGGTTCACTCCTGCCAACTCTGTAATTCCACATCCGGGGGTTCGCCATGACAAAACGAGCAGAAATGCTAGTAAAGACTCAAACTGACCGACGGGGGAGTGGTATACTTCTGGTATATCCACGTGGGTACATTTTATGAAGCCACTAAAAAGTTCACTTTCTTGAAGACTGGGGTGGCTCAGTCAGTTAAGCATCTGTCTTCAGCTCAGGTCATGATCTCAAGATCCTGGGACTGAGCCCCAACTTCAGGAGTCTGCTTCTCCCTCTGCTTCCAGCCCGCCCTCCTGCTTGTGCTCTCTTTGCCTCTCACGGTCTCAAATCTTAAAACAAATAAAATCTTAAAACAAAACTTTCAGCTTTAAAACAAGGCTCAACACTAAACATAAAAGAACTTCCACCGTGTACAGTAACATACACTACCACAGCACAAATAAGCTAAAAC